GGTTAATGGAATTCATCTTCATGTGTCATCTAGTACTATTTTCAGAGTGCAGCCACACACTATCATCAATGATTAACATCTCAAATGCTATCATTTCTACAGCAGCTTTAATCAAAAGGTAAAAAATCACTTCTCTAAGGACTACATATGTAGTCCATTATTTGGCTTGATTGAAAAACAAGTAATCGCATAAACGAACGTGATAATTATATTTGAGATTGACCCAACCGATACATCAGTGAGGTGAGAAGACATGGAGAATCCAGCTGTTAACTGAGTTTCAAGCTTTATTATTCCTGTTTATCAAATCCATCTTCAGAAAAGATCTTAAGTTTTTTGTGTGCGCTGAGATGTGACGTGCTGGTGAGAACATGAAGTAATGTTTTACTGCACAAATGACAGAACAGAGCACCATGAAATACAGTAGCAAGAGACAAAACCCAAGATTTTGAATTTTTATTTTATTGATTGTTTTGCAAGTACATAGAAGGACTTCAACATTTAGTTTGCAGAGTTTACAGTACAACTACGTTTTCTATAATATTTCATTTTTTTTTGCTTTTTCAGGGCAAGAGTCAATAAAATATAAAGTTAAATAAGTCCAATGTGATAATATAGTAGAATCATCATTTTCTTCAGGACAAATGATATCAGCTATCCTGTCCTGTGAAGTGCTGTCAAGCAGGGGATATCTCAATGACATCCCAATTAACATTCACGCATATTATCAGCCACTGAAGAGGAGTAAGACAATCTCATCCCTGTAATACCAATCATCACAACTACTACTCAGAGTAAACCTCACCTACAAAACCACACTTGCCCCACAGAAAGGGAGATACTCAGAAGTGCTTTAATTTCTAATCCTACTTTACAAATCAGCTAAAAAAGTGGAGTCACAGCTTGTTGCAATTAGCTTGTGCGGACACATGAGATTTTCTTAACAATACCAATATTCTACCACAACATGTCCTCAAGATGAAAAAATTCAAGGGTGACATGCAGATATTTGCACCACTTATATATAAAGAAAGCCTGTTTTCCTTTCTTCCCCAGTTTTCAGCACTATAGTGACTTTCACTCTCTTGCATTAACAGTGACACAAATAAGACAAGCCAGAGAGCTCTTGGTGAAGTGCGATCTGCAAACTGAAGAGAAAAAAATAAGCTGTTGCACAGACCTTTTCTGGTTATTTCTCACAACATCCATGTGAGGTAGGATGAAAAACATCTCCTTTTCCAGCAACAGGAGATAAGGCAGAGAGCACAGATGACATTTGTCAAGGCAGTATGTGCAGAACTGGAAAAACGAAAACTCGGGAGTTCTTGGCTCTTACTTCTTTGCTTCAGAAACCAAGGTGCTAAACTCTCAGACATCAGATCATCAATCTTTTTATAGCCATACATTAATGATAGATATGGCTTCTGTGCGTATGCCAGCAAAGCACAGTTTTATGGCAGAAGCAGCATACTCCTGATGCTGCCCTTAGACACTTCCCTTGTACTTTATTTACGTCAATAAATGTTCATTGCAATAAACTAATCAATCAGTCTTACAATTAATGTAGCAGAGGTAATTGCAATAGATCACATTTCACTTATAGATTTCTTAAAGACTTCCCAGCTATTTAAATACATTTGTTTGTTTGCTTGTTTGGATATATTAACAGTTACTCCCTTTCCTTGTATAATAGTTTTTATATTCCTCCCCTAAAACCAGCATCCCTTCTGGGTACTCTTTATGAGAGCTTTGGGGGATGATGAACAAGACACCTTCAGGGATCACACACATCCCATCAAGAGCAGCTTTCCACCCATCCTTGGCCATGAAGGTAAAGGCAGGCACCTTCTGCTGTGTACAGCACTCCACAAGGGTCAGAATTGTCACTGAAGTGTCTATGCACTGGGGAAGATGCCTCTGGTCTGCTCTATCCAAAACCAAAACTATTTCATACTGAGCTAAAATGGAGTAAACTTTTCTTACACAGAGAATTTTAATCTGCAAAAACTCTGCAAGCAGAACTTCAGGCTACCTCCATAGCAATAGAAATAGCCAGACTTTAAGAATGTCACTTGTTTGGAACGAGTAAGTAACATAGCAAATACATCTAAACAGAGAAAAAAGCTGAAAACTAAATCTAGGTAAAAACTAGCTTGTGCTAATCCTGCATTAAGATATTTTAAAGCACTTTGATCAATATAGTTTCAAGTCTTGCATGCAAATTAGCTATCAACAAAAACCCTAGCATATGCTTAGCAGTAGCCTTTGTACAACACGTTTCTTTGCCATGGGCTCAGCATCAGGCCTTGCCTATGCCTTCGGGCTGCACAACAGCCTATCACCTGTTAGCACCCAGCAGCTCAAGTCATATAACTTGGTACTATGGCAGTACTTTTGTACTAGCATAAAAGTGCTTACAAAGGCATTTTGTTTATTGCTTTGTGGGAAGAGGGATAATCTACGCTGGTATTGACAAGAAATTTAAAAAGAACTGTTTAGAGTTAAGTGTAACTAAACAAAATAATCTCACTAATCAAAACAGTTTTACTGCTTTAAAACCTATGTATGTGTGGATCAAGACAAATTTTAAAATTGTCCATGAAAGAGAAGCATCTTTTATTTCAGAATGGAAAAAGTGCAGTACAAAGGCTAGTACAGAAGCTAAACATTGCTGGATTTTTTTATTCAATTTTTGGTTCCCTAGAAATGAGTTATACTTTTTCCACAACAAACACTGGCTATGGTGAATACCTCACCTACCTAGTATTCAGATGCCTTCCATACCATATCCCCATACTGTTTATCACTGCATATCACAGGTATGATAGGCATATATATATACATACATATTTATTCGTGCATCTACATTTTACATGTTTTTTCAGTCACTTAATTTGCTCCAGTCCTGATGTCAAAATTATATCAGAATTATGTCAGGAACTATTGTAACTGAAGTGTTTAACACATTCTTATTTACATGAATGACAGAAACCATTATACTTGGAGGGAACACTGCATTTTAGTAAATGCAGATCTCCAGTCAATTCATGATCTGTACAATAAAGACATATTGTGCTGATCTGGGATGTGATATCTAATGCTGTCATACTACCTATTTGCAAAAATAACAGTAATTTTGTAATTAATAACAGGGAAAGGAAGATCTTTATCAAATAGCAGAACGAGTATGAGAGAATGACTTTGGATTTTGATTCTCTCACGGTGCTCATTCTAGTTATCATGAGTCCGCTTCCAAACTGTTTAATTTTTGCTGATTCCTCAACTGACAAGTGGTGCAAACTTTTTACACTTAACCAACTGTATTCCTTTAGAAAGAATCTTCTAAGTGCCCACAGCATTATCTTCCCAGTTCTCTATGTAACACTGCAAGGACAGACCTCACTCCAGAAACAATCTTAACTTGCCTTTGAATGGAGGCTAGGGAGAAGGATTATATCTGGAAAATAAGAGCAGTTCAAGTAGGACAGTTGTGCAGCTGCCAGCTGTATGCATGGGGACATACTCCTTCACATTAGCCCCATTCCTGTTTGCATGATTTAATTTGCCATCCAGAGGGACCTTGACATGCTTGTGAGGTGGGCTGATGCCAACCTCATGAAGTTTAACCATGACAAGTGCAAAGTCCTACACCTGGGTCAAGGCAATCCAGGCACAGCTACAGGTTGGGCAGAGAAGAGATTCAGAGCAGCCCTGCGGAGGAGGACTTGGGGATGTTGGTCAATGAGAAACTCAACATGAGCAGGCTTCAGTGTGAGCTCACGGCCCAGAAAGCCAACAACTATCCTGGGCTGCATCAAAAGGAGCGTGACCAGCAGGTCAAAGGATGTGATCCTGCCCCTTTACTCTGCTCCTGTGAGACCTCACCTGGAGTATTGTGTGCAGTTCTGGTGTCCTCAACATAAAAAGGAGGTGGAACTATTGGAACAAGTCCAGAGGAGGGCCACGAGGATGATCAGGGGACTGAAGCACCTCTCATATGAAGATAGGCTGAGGAAGTTGGGGCTGTTCAGCCTGGAGAAGAGAAGGCCATGTAGAGACCTCATAGCAGCCTTCCGGTATCTGAAGGGTGGCTATAGGGATGCTGGGGATGGACTATTCATTAGGGACTGTAGTGACAGGACAAGGGGTAACGGGTAAAAACTTAGAGGAAGTTTAGTTTGGATATAAGGAAGAAGCTCTTTCCTGTAAGGGTGGTGAAGCACTGGAACTGGTTGCCCAGGGAAGCTGTGAATGCTCCATCCCTGGCGGTGTTCAAGGCCAGGTTGGACAGAGCCTTGGGTGATGTGGTTTAGTGTGAGGTGTCCCTGCCCATGGCAGGAGGGCTGGAACTGGATGATCTTAAGGTCCTTTCCAACTCCAACTATTCTATGATTCTACGATTCTATGAATTATAAGGGATTAGAGTTGGACTGTGGGAGGTGTAGGACTCTTAATGTCAACAGACACACACTGTGAAACATCAGATACAGTCAAGGCTAAGGACCTAGTTATTTCCACCAGTATAAAGAGTTTTGTCACTCATGAAAATTTTCAAGAAAAGGGAAGTTCATATTCCTGATATCTCTCTACAGGTGTGTACATTTTCTCTAGACCACTCTAGGAAAAAACAACACACCTTTACAGGCACAGGAGAATGGACATCCTAAGTGCTGTAGTTCCAGAGCAATGGAGTGACTTGTAAGTTTAATGACATCAGGAAAAGGAGAAGCAATTGTAAGTTTGCATGGACATTTTCTGATTCTGTGTAAAAAAGCGTAATGTTTGGCAGAGAGACTACAAGGCTTTTTTTTTTTTTTTGACAATGTTTATATTAGCATAACATCATTCAAAATAAATTCACCCATCCATTAAAATTGGTAATGTAATGAAAGTAAAATACAATTCTGATAGTCACAGCCTGAGTTTAGCTATCTGGAAACTACTTAACAAGCCCTTAGAAAAATTAAAAAAAAAAAAATAAAAAGAAGACAAATAAGAAGTAAAATTGCAAACCAGACATCAATTTCTCTTCACTGAGCTCCCGTTTGGAAACAAGCTTTCTGGCAAGTTAAGCCCAGTCCGTATTTCACGTTTAAATCTGCCTCATTGGTGTTAGTTTTGGTGAAACCTAGCAGAAAAGAGGGAAAAAACCACAACAGTTGGCATACAGATATAGCAGTACAACGCACCATTCACTTTCACCTCTATCAACTGTGCCACTGAAGACTAGAGATACTGTATTTATTTAAACTAATACATTTACAGGATTTCTGAGATAAACACTCCCACCACTATATTTTCCAATGCAAGAATGCAAGATACGTGTGGTGTGCTAGTATCCATCCTCTAAATTTCATTTATCTTGATTTGGGTTATTGATTTAAGAATACAAGAAGATTAAAGAAACTTTGAAAGCTGAACGTGTACTCGCCCCTGCTAACTGCATGGTCTTCTTGCATAGCTTCCAATGCCAGCAGAAGAGATAGCTGTACTCAGGTGAAGGAGCTCCTCAGTTGTACATTACACGAACATCACTCAAAACCAGGCCTTGACCTAGTTAATGCACCGGCCCATAAATGGTTATGGGTGCAGAAGTAGTCAGTCAACTGAGTTTTGGAGCATGCACATTAGAAAGGGATATACAATCAAATGTACATTACAATATACATACTGTACTTACAGTATATGCAACCTTTGATTTGATACTAATTTGAAGATGATATAATTCAGTACTTCTAATTTTACCTATTTTTAAAAAAATATTTGCCTTCTTTCATTCACATTTGATTTGTTTGATGATGATGTAGTTTAATCTTTGTAATTTTACCTTTTTTTAAAAAAACTTGCCTTTTTCCCTTCATATTAATTTTTGTGTGACAACACACATATTCTATTAATTCCACATACTTGTAAAAATAAATTAGTGATATTGGAAGACATCCAGCAGGACAAAAATAAAACACAGTAAGCTTAAATAGGAAACTAGATGAGGAAAGAAGGTTTAAATGGAAACAATACAAGACTTTGAAGAGTAGCAGTGGTTGAACCTGGACTGCAGGTCTACACAAATATCCTGAGGAAAAGCTCTGCACTGAAGATCCAAGCCTCTTCAAATATCTCCTGTTCTCAGCCCTATTTAAATATATGCTCCAGTATCAAAACCAAAACCAACTCGTGATCTTGTTCAGGATAAAAGACACTTCCATAGATAATCTGGCTCCTAGTTCATCCCTGTGAAAAATGCATTCCTTCTGCCTCCTTCTCCCATCTTTTTCACTTAATAGTACTGAACAAGCTAACTCATCAAAAGTGATGTATAAAGGCCTTTCCAAGCATTAAAGCTTCTTTTTTTTTGTTAGAGTACAGGGCTGTATTTCCTGTGCCGGTTAGATTTTTACATTTTCCTTCCTCTAGCCATTATCTATCATTACTTATAATCTTATGAGAAAAACCAAGAAAAGCTTAGTTCATGAAGAATGTGTTTACTCTATCAAATGCTAATGAAATGTTTTTAGGAGATGGAAACTGTTCATTGGTTTTTCAAAGTTGCGTGTGAACTAAGATAATAAATAGATGTAAGAGATACAAGTGCAGAGGAGATGGAGAAAATCCCTGAGTGCACCAGCTTTCCTGGACTAACTTCAGAAATGTTTCAACACTCCTAACTCTAAGTACTTATGTGCCTCACTTAATTTGTGCCTACTTCTGCCTTACACAGGGATAGTTCCATTGAATTGAAGGCAAAAACTAGACGGTGAAGACAGCACCATTAAAATCTGTATTCTGCAAATAACGACAAAAGCCAGTTACTGGAGGAGATTGTTCTTTCCTGCTAACGTAGATTCTGGTGCCATCAAAACCTCAAGTGTTTTACATTTGAGCAGATTACATTAAATGTAATGTCTGCACATCTGATGCTAACAGCTATCATTTGTGTGTACCACTGTCTGCTTCAGACATGGTCAGATCCCCTGACTCCTGAAATGCCACAATGCCAGATGAAGATAGTAGAGGTGGTGAGAACCCAGCACCCCTCAGAAATGGACTCAAATGCAGCTGTTTATTCTAAATAAAATGGCATTAAATAAGCATAAAACTGCTAATGTAACAAAAAAGAAGGTTTGTGCTTGGAAAACAAGGGCTCTGAAATGCAGAAAGCCCCTGACTTTTAAATCCCGTAAGAGTCAGTCAATTTGGTAAGGGCTGAATGTGCTTAATGATGTCTGTTTTACAGTATACATCCACACAGTTGTCACTTTCTTACAGTACCTCCTAAGCACATTCTTAATATTATTTCACTTGTAGGAAGAACAGCTTGTCTTGGAAGCTTCACAGTAGTTTGCTACCATTAAACAAGAAGGTATACTGGGGGAGGATTTTGAAAGGGCAGTCCTGTAAGCAGCCTACAAACTGGTAAGAAAGAGGACACAGGGCCTCCAGGATTTCCTGCAATTCAAGCTCATTGGCTCTGATTTCCAACCCAAACTACCCTTCCAGCTACACAACACAGCCCTATGCCTACTTAGTTCTATTTCTTTTTAGCGAGCAGTTCTTTCAAGACCTGGTTCTGAACAATGCTTAGTCCTAATAACTTCTAATGACCTCACCAGGTGCGCAAAAGCAAGTTATTGTTCAGGAATGTAAAGAATCAGAGAAAAGAAACACAAACCAAAACACAAAGATGGCCAGCTTTAGCATATCTGTTAAAATAAGTTGCTTATCCCTTATTAACTCCTAATTATTTGAAATAGCAGATAAAAGCAAACTACATTTCCAACATCAACTTTTGTACAAAACTCTGTTCCTAATGTGACTTTGATAATGGGGGTGATTGATCAGGAGAAAACACAACATCCATTTTAAAATGGACTCAATACTTGACATCCTGTTTCCTCAAAGGAAATGTTCTTCCAGAAAATAAAACCTTATCCTCTATTATTTTTTACTCACTGGCAGATGCTTTTCCTAAGCAATTTTCATGATTTAGTGTGAGGTGTCCCTGCCTATGGTAGGGGGGGTGGAACTAGATGATCTTAAGGTCCTTTCCAATCCTAACTATTCTATGATTCTATTCTATGATTCTATGATTCTAAACTGTTATCTTTTAAGATCATTTTGTAAAACTGAGATTTTACAAAAAAAAAAAAAAAAAGAGAGAGAGAGAGACTTATCCTGATTATTTTTATAATGAAATACAAATTCAGAAGTATGGTTCTCTCATGGTCTCCTCAATGATATAAACCAGTACCAGCCCAAACACATTACCTGCCAAGGTGATCTATATGCTAGGCTACAGCAAATATGATTTAAGCACACAAGATAAGCCAACATTTTGTATTTAGAGCAAATTTAGTAAAATTGAGGGTGAACTGTTAATTTTTTATGTAATGCCAGTCTTTAATGAAGATCATTGACTCTAAATCACGTGTTCTTTGACATTCTGTTGCTGCAAATGTCCTTTAGGGGATGTTTTCCCAAATAAATAAGCAGGCTGATAAAATGGGAATGCACAGCTGAATGTGTCTCTAAGAAAGGCCTATAAAGGAGTAGTCTGCAGGAGGCAGATAGTTACATATAAAGTTACAGCTATCCCTTACAGTCTCACTTGTAATGAACCTAGAGAGATGTTTGTTTCAGTTCAGATCACCCACTGCACTCATGGAATAAAGCTGCTAGAAAAGGGTCAACTTCTCATTTTCCACCCATTATTTGCTTCAAACTAGCAAAACATATGATCCAAAAACCTGTAGCAATACAGTATCACTAAAGTTCCTGTCACTGATACAAACAAGAACAAGATGTCTCGTTCGGTGAACGAGAGGCACAACTGTTATTCTTGCAAGGAAGCCTGAGGCAAAGTCTTGAAATGTGGAAAAAAGGACCAAGGATACTGCTTTCTTTAATAAATAAATAATTGTGGTTCATGCTTCCTATGTTTAGTGCTATAGAGATTTCAGGCACTTTCCTATTTAGCAATCAGTAGGTAACACTGACCCCCCCCCCACATTCCCTGGCAGAGGTACACGCTCTGCACGAAAGATGTGCTTTGCAAGCATTCATGCAAGCTGCATGCTGTTAAGGTAAGTATATAATAGTGCATAAACCAAGCAGTATCTACGTTTTTCATGCCCACAGCTCCTTTAGTGCGGCTCGTGATTTCATGCATGACAATGGCAGCTGTACAAAACACACTGCATCAGTTTGCCTCCAGGAGAGCTAGGAAATGGTGCCTGTGAAATGTCCCAGTGAGACAGATCCCAGAGACCTAGATGGTGGACTGTTGCAATACCTCTCATCAGTTGCTAACTTCAGGTTACCTTAAAGATTCAAGATTTATGCCACTGTTCTGTAACATTTACAGTAAAGTACTGTCCTGGGTTCAGCAGTAGCAGTCATGTTTCTCCTCCTTGGTAGCTGGTGCAGTGCAGTGTTTTGACTTTCATCTCAGGAACAGAGCTGATAGTGATGTTTTGGTTTGGCCAAGGACTTCGTGAGCCTCATGCTCTGCCAGGGAGGAGGGGAAGCCAGGAGGAAGCAGAGACAGGACACCTGACCCAAACTGACCAAAGAGGTATTCCATACCACAGCACGTCATGCCCAGGATGTAACTGGGAGTTACCCGGAAGGGCTGGGAGTCTGCAGGGTTGGAGGAGGTATCGGTCAGTGCTTGGTCGGGCTGGGGGGGGGGCGAGTTATCGGTCGGCTGGTGCTGAGGTGTTGTATTCTCTTCCCTTGTTATTTCCTTTATCATTATTATTATTGGTGGTAGCAGTAGTGATCTGTGTTATACCTTAGTTACTAAACTGTTCTTATCTCAACCTGTGAGAGTTGCATTCTTTTCGATTCTCCTCTCCGTCCCTCCGAGAGCAGGGGGAGGGCAAGAAAGGGGGGGGGGAAGTGAGCGAACGAGTTACCTGACTGGGTTTAAACCACGACAAGTACGAAGGGATAGTGGGTGGTGCTAATCTTTTCTTTGGTCCTAATAGCCTTGCCCTCTCATATCCACCATGCTGCTGTAAAGCTTAATCTCATAGCCCATCATTTTAAGGTTACCACTTCTTTATCTGAATTCTTTGGCTGCTTCTGCTTTCATTGCCTTGAGCATAGGCTGCTGGATTTTGAGTAACTCGCTCTCAATTAATACATATATACTCGTCACCCGAACCAAAAAGAAACAACTCCTTCCAAACAAGCAGGTTTGGAACACGTAACGACTGGTGTCTTCTGAAAACAAAGGTCCTCTACCGTAGTGTCAGTCTATTTAAATGCTTACTATACATCATACCTTTAAATCATGAAGTTTATCCCCAAATTAAATGTACAAGGCCAAAACAAAGTTCCTGACTGCAAAAGACAAAAACTTAGAAGGTTGTCCTGGTTTCAGCTGCAACAGGTTGCTTTTCAGGTTTTTTTCCTCCTTCCTAGTAGCTGGTGCAGTGCTGTGCTTTGGCTTCAGTCCGACAATAGTACTGATTGGTTTAATTGTTGCCAAGTAGCAGTTACTCTGATCAAGGACTTTTCAGTCTCTCATGTTCTGCTGCTGAAGAGGGGTACAAGATGCCAGAAGGAAGCAAGGACTAGACACCTGACCCAGACTAGACAAAGGGGTATTCCATACCACAGCACATCATACCCAGTATATAAACTGGGGGGAGTCACCCAGAAGAGACCAGTCGCTGCTCAGGTTGGGCTGGGTATCGGTAAGTGGGTGGTGAGCAATTGTACTGTGCATCACTTGTGTTTACTGTTTTTTTCCTTTCCCCTTTTAGTCTTACATTATCTCCCCTTATTATTTCCCTTATCATTATTATTATTAGTAGTAGTAGTTTTATATTATACTTTAGCTACTGGACTCTTCTTATCTCAACCCATGAGGTTTACATTCTTTCCATTCTCCTCCCTACCCTCTCCCAGATGCTGAATGAATAATTTATTTTAAACATAGAATTGCTGAGCATGGAAAGTTGCTTCTAGCATAAATTAAAAAGTAACAATGACCTCTATAAAATGTTACATGGAAAATTAATAAAGAAGCAAAGTGAATTTGTAGCAGTTTCCTGCCCCTGCAATTGCAGGACACTTGTCTCTAACCAAACAATTGTTCTCAGATAAATGAATGTATTTTCAGAAGTAAAGACATCTTTACTTAGAATATTTAAGAAAAACATACACTATCAAATTTAGTTATCAGAAATTACAGGAATTGTAGAGAAATTCCACAAGCTCATTCCTCAGATAGTTTTACTTACTACCAGTAGTATGCTCAACCCTTAATAACAAACTCTTTTACATACTAACTGCTCTGCAATCTTTCAATTTTGTGCCCTAGCCCTGCCAAGTAACTGCAAAGAGGAAGAGTATTGCACATTACCAAATATTCCTCAACTATTTTTACAGCAGTATGTACACTGCCATACTCTCTGTCCTTGCCAAAGGAGGGCTGACCTGCCCCAAAAGACTTCACATCATGGAAGACAAAATTTTGCAATGTGCACGCAGAAGACCGGGAAGAAGCTGTATGTTTTCAATCACACATATGCAATCAGTTACAGTCCCGTGCACTACAACTTTTCCACTGGCTTTTCCACTGATAAACCAGTTTTATGTTAGCATTGAGTAAGACTTCAGAATGAAGTGAAGGTCGAAAGGCAGTGGCTTTTCTGGATTAATGCAGAGCATATGTTTCGCTTGTAGAAGGCAATGGGAGAGAAAAAGCAAAGATATCAACAGTAGAGTACTTAACTGATTGGCACTAGTAACAGAGAGTGATGTGTAGTCACCCCTGTTGAGAAGACTCAAACCCTACCTAAAGATAGCATGAAAACTTAGTAACAGCGTTAGGTAAACTAACTTACACAGTGGAAAAATAAATATTCCTCCACCTTTCAGATATTAATAAACTCCTCTCTTCAAAGCATCATGAAAGTTCCATTTACACTTTGTCCTTTTACTCTTTGTCATTTCTCCATCTCTTCTGTTCATCCCAGCTGCTAATGCTTCCATTATAATCATATGAGATTAGTCCTAGATTGTCTTCTTATTTTTATTGAAAATCCAACAGCTAATCTACCCAGCTCTTACAAGTAAGGAGGAAACTTACTGCGTCTCCAAGACTTCATGTGATGAGTATTTGTGGAGAATGTATGTTCTGACACTCGACTAACTATATTTGCTTGTAAAATTACTTACTGTGAAGTCACAGCCAGTGCTTTTCTTGATATCATCCACTGTCAGACCTTCCCAGATTTCCACAAGGGTCAATCCCTTCTTCTTGTCCACATCAAACACAGCCTGTCATGGTTCAAATAGCACAAAACAATTTTTTTATTATTAAAGCAGAAAATGAGGGTGTAAGTAGTAATATTGTATAAAATGGTGCCAAAGTAGGCAGTGTTCAGCCAGTAACAAAAGATGCCATTATCACTGGGTTTCACTTTTCACTTTTCTGACTGACCAATTAAGATTTCTGCTACCTTTATCTGTACGTGAAAGAATCTGGAGTCTGAGACGTTTAAGTTTTGTGAGGAGAGTGTGCAACTGCTCTTCAGTGCACAAAATGAAGACCACGTTCCCAAACAATCTGGTGAGAACTGTCAAGTCCAAAAGAAAGGGCTGAGATGTTCTTTGCTGCAAGACAATGCTCATGAGCAGATTATGAAGAAAATCAAGAAAAGACAATGTCTTCCTCACTCTTTGATTTCGTTTTAAGGCCAGCAGAGAGGTACAGTGTGGTTGATCACCTTCATCAGATTATGAGATTCTCCAACAGCTATTGCACAGTCAGTACAAGTTTTAGTATTTCCATAAGATAGCAATGGAAGAACAGATTTCTTGTTGTATTTTTAATAGAAAGCCTGGGAGGAAGTGGCTGAAGGAGCAAAGGTTGTTCTTTCCCCTTGCAAGGCTCACAAGTGCATCAAATAAAAACACATGTAAAATGACGTGCACTTTAATGATGCCTACCAGAGGGATATATACAGGTTGCAAGCTAGTTGCCATGGAAACCATAAGGTCTATAGTGATTTTTCTTAAAAAAAAAATAAAGAAGTTAGTAGCAAAAGAACAATGAAGACTGAACTTGAAATTAAAGCAAAGTCTTAAACTTATCACAGAAGTGTACTTAGGTTCAGCTGTCCTTTGAGCATAAGACTTATTTATAGGATGGAAAAACAATAGCTCCTCTAAATCTTAAAAGAAAATCTGGGCATAAGGAAGTTAGTGTGGAAACAGAATTTGTAACACTACCTAAGTATTGTTGTACATTTGTGTCATCACCTAATAAAGCAACAAGACATGACAACTGGTAACACAGGGCAAATTCTGTTGTTTATTTTCTATCAGTCTTCGCTCACTCTATTTTTTTCTGTACCTTATATTTGTATGAGGTCAGTTAGTAGAAGACTGAAAAAACTTCAGTTTTCATTTGTTTTCCCTTACTTTGTGGAGAAAAAAAAGAACAAACCACATTTCAAATTACAGTAGCAATATACCACCAGGAAAAAGCAAATTCTACACCAGCACCTTTGATGAATTCTATTTGAATGTATGACAGATGGCTTATAGAGGAACTATTCTAAGCTCTTAAAAATGTAAACACTAATAATAAAAGGAGTATGACTGCAGAAAAAATCTTAAGTCACTTATCCTTTGCTGAAAAGATCCTCTAATGTACTTTGAGCAGCAGCACTATCAGATGCTCACACACACTTGCACTGGAGAAGAGGAACATATTGACAAGTATTCCAGAAAAGTATTTTACCTTCTCTGTAATGATGCGGTTTACACATTGTTTCCCAGTAAGTGGTAAATTGCACTTTTCCAAGATTTTATGGACATTACCCTGTGTTTAACAATAGGAAGACAAATGTTAATTTTAAAAACCAACACAACTTACATAGCATTCAAATGCTTACATGAAAATTGCAGATGTAGCCATTCAATATTAGTGAAACATTCACTGTACTCAGAACACTCTTTGAATTAATTTATATGACAGATTACATCTCCGGCAATTTGGGACAGTTATTACCTAAATCCCACATATAGGGAGATGAGTAATAAGAATCTCACTGTACTACTGAGTGGGCTCCTGAGTTTAGAACTTCTGTATTCTTCTGGTTTATAATTTGTCTTTCCTTCTGCAATGTGAGGATAAAAGATACATGATAAGACCCCAATGATGAAGGACAAAAATAAGGGAAAGACATTATAGGCATGACATTTTTCTGTCTTACACTTTATCATAAACTGTATGTGCAGGATCAGCCATACACACAGGCATTTCAAATACCTGCTAGGGCACAAATGCATAGTCATGCTCTGAAATTACTAAATACACTTTCTTTACCTACACTGCATTCACACTCCCTGTATCTCTCCACGAACGCCCAAAAGCACACGACATGAGTACAATAGGCTCATCTTCAAGTGCTACACAGGAGTTACATCTCCATTTTAGACAGAACAAATTAGCATGCAAATACAGAAGAAAATAATACATACATATATAAAATTGGATTTATTTTAAGGCACTTCCTTTTAGGGGCATTAAATACCTGTTCCTCTAAATCGTAGGAAAAATACTACCTAATGAGAAGGAATAACTTTTGACATAAAGGTTTGGGTGGTGAATTTGGGGAGGTTTTTCTCTTCTTTTTTTGTTTTCTTTTTTTTTTTCTTCCTTTTTTTTTTTTTTAATAGTTCACAAATGGCTTTACACCCTCCTAAATGAATGTAGGCTGCAAAAGCTCTGAATGAATATAAAAGTGATGGATTATTTTATTTTCAGTCAGTATTTGTAGGCATTTTACAGAGGTAGCATAACGTACACGTTTCTCCCATTACCATATGCTTTTATTTTGTCTCTAATTATCAATTTTCAGCTATGCATTTTGAAACTCTCAGAGTATTATGTGTCTTTATTTAACTATCTGAATCTAATACTTTCTAAATTGACAATCATCAGTTTGCCTTAAGGCTTAATATAATCTCAGGAACCATCTCTCAGCCAGTTTGACTCCTGAGTGATAATAAAATGAGCAATCCATGCACTTTTGAATTTATCTTTTTCTGTGAAGACCTATTTCTTCATTCTAATTCTAATTATACTGGCAAGATCCACGTCAGGTACCAAGGCAACTGCTTTGATGAAACTTGCTTACTCGTAATGAAACTAATGACTTGCCACTGTTACTTTCAATTGATCTACTTATATCCCATCCATCTCAGGGACCTTCCTGTGTGCTTTGCCTAACAGTCAAGATTAACCTGTGCTATTTGTAATATCTTCAAAAAGATATCAGGTATGCTTCTCAGCCATATGAAATGAAGCATCTCTTCAACTAAGATTGAAATGTACGGACTTGCAGAGGTGACAGCTTGAATATCTCCCATGACCCTGAGAACTGGTACCTTCTATCTTCCTAACACTTCAGCTTAAGATCATTGTATTACCAATCGGCATAGGAGGCCACTTTTGGAAGACATTCATCAGGGCACTATCAGAATAGGAATCCAAATGGAACTGCATGAATTTTTACCATCTTGAGTTCATACAGGATTTGTTCAGACAAAGAAAAAGACTGCTGTGTAAATACGTAAAGCCTTAAGGTGTTTAGTCTACTTTAAGTAGAGAATTCTGTTGTTGAAGAATAAAAATGTCCTTAATCTTCCACAATACATTAAAATCAAAACTATTCACAATGATACAAAGGAGTTTTCAATTCAGGGCTCCATGCTTCAGTCATGTCCAAATCAAGGGCTTAAAACTAGTTTCTGTTCTCTTTTTCTGAATGGTGTAGACAACTCATTTCACAACATGGAACAATTACCAGCCATTACTTTATTATGTTTTGCAAAACATGTCAATGATGCTATGAGGGTAAGAATTTGATTGTTATTTCTCTTAGGCAGTATTCAGCACATTAGGCACAGCTGCACAGTGACTTTTAAAAGATTAAATAGCAACCTTACATCCTATTATTTTTCCTTATGGTTATAAACAAAACCCTAATTTAGCAAAAAGTACATGAAGAAATATCGTAATGAATTAAACTTAAGGTCTGTTTGCAAAGTCTTTCACAGGGGCTTAAGCATATGGAGCTTAAGCATATGGAGCAAAAACTGAGATAACCCTTCCATAGATACGTACTCCTGGTTCCTGCCATGCGGTGATGTACAGATTTTCTGAGCTACTGACTACTTCAAAGCAATGCTATTTAATTGTCACTAGTGAACTTAAGATCATAAAACAGTTCAGTCCCTTTCATATAAATTTAATTCTTGGAGCTTCTGCATCATCCTGCCAATCATCCACAACTTCATTAGCTGGCTGTTTTTTGTTGCTTTAAACACGGTAGTTGCCAATTTCAGTCAAGTACCCCTACTTCTTTTATAAGGCAGTGACTAGCCATTCTGCATCTATCTCCTCCATGCCATTATAATTTTTTTCATTTCTATGTCACCTGTCCACAATAGCATTTCTTAAGCTAAAAAATCTTATCACAGAATCATAGAATAGTTAGGGTTGGAAAGGACCTTAAGATCTTCTAGTTCCAACCCCATTGCCATGGGCAGGGACACCTCACACTGAACCATCTCACCCAAGCTCTGTCCAACCCGGCCTTGAACACTACCAGGGATGGAGCATTCACAACTTTCCTGGGCAGCCCATTCCAGTGCATCACCACCCTTACAGTAAAGAACTTCCTCCTTATATCCAATCTAAACTTCCCCTGTTTAAGTTTTAACCCACTACCCCTTGTCCTATCACTACAGTCCCTAATGAACCTCCCCAGCATCCTTATAGGCCCCCTTCAGATACTGGAAGGCTGCTATGAGGTCTCCACACAGCCTTCTCTTCTCCAGGCTGAACAGCCTCAACTTTCTCAAGCCTATCTTGTACAAAATTAATTTTACGCTCTGTCATCTTTCTTCTGTACGTTTTGGTTTTCATTACAAGTAAGAAGTTTAGTAATTAAAAAATGCAAATAGCTTCTGGCAGAGCGTATTTAGGTTTAGTTGCAATATATTGTATATCAGAGTTTATCAGTGTTAAGACAGATTCTAGTTTCACCTTCATAATTAAGCTAAGTATTTTGCCTCCCCTGCAAGGACTTAGCCTATCCCTATGTTTAAAAACTACAACGTGTACTGAAAAGGAGAATGCACTTTTAAAGTCTTGGAAAACTTATTTTACTGCTTAAGAATCCATTACTGTTCCAAAAAAAAAAAAAAAAAGGATTGAAATATCCTTCACAAGATCACAAATCAGACAAAGCTGACTCCAAGAACTACCTATCGCAGCAACTCTTGAACAGGTCCATTGAAGGTACTGCGTATATCTCATGCCTTTCACTTTATTTCTATCCATCAGATCTTGACTGCTGTTGATTTACAGAAGTCTTTGGTGTCTAATGATAGATTTCTTATTATTTATTTGGAGAGTAAGGTAACAGAAAAGCCCTTATTCTAAAAAGCCAGCAGACACCACAAACTGTCACAGTACATGCAGACATTTCTTTCACTCAGTAGCACATTGGGCATTGAGCAGGATAGAACAATGTTCCTCTGATCCATAAATACAGATGCAGTAACTTTGTGAGAAAATATTTTGTGTAAAGAATTAGACAGCTGTAGTGTGAGGTGTCCCTGCCCACGGCAGCGGAGTTGAAACTGGATGATCTTGGACCTTTGCAATCCAAACTATTCTATAATTCTATGAATAGAAATCAGCTTTGTAAGAAACAGTCACTCCAAGAAAAAGCTGAATTTCAGAACTGGTCTCACAGGTGCTATGTTTGCTTGTGTTCAAAAAGATTAAAAAAAAAAAAAAAAAGGAAAAAAGATAGAGGAGCACCTGAAAACTTTAAGATCAGCTTTTGATTTCCAAATGTAAGATTTTCATATTTTGTATCTTCACTTATGAGCAAACAAGAAGAAGCAGTATGAAGACCCCAAAAACAGCTAAGGTAAGAGGAAAGAGCGCTAAGAATACCCTCTTTGAAAATAAGAGTAAAATTAAAAATCATGCATATAGTTTAGTTTTGCTGTGCAGTCTCACAAAAGCAGGAGAAATAATTTATGAAAGCCTACAACTGGCTCCGTAGTGGTGCTCACCAGGCATCTCATGTACTTAAGAGGCCAAGTTATGTATACATATGCCAATAAAAATAAGTCAGTGCCTGGACTGTTTGTAACAGTGAACATATCTATGTTTCCGTCTTTTGCAGGTTTCTGTACTCCTGCTGACAAAAAAAAAAAACAGCATGCAAACACTTCGAAATAACTGTAGTGAAAAAAAGATTCTGGTAATACTACTTTTAAGAGAAAAACTGGCATGAATAATTACATCTGTGTGGACTCTGGGCCTTAACCAAATTCCACAATAACTAGAAATTTAACATAAATATTTTTTCAGATCATATTTGCACGTCAAGTACATCTCTGAGTAAATGGATAATTACATATTGAGTTTTGGGGTGGCTGTGATACAGATGCGAATCACATAAATGAATTTGCTTTGTACATTAATTTACTTATTGACACAAATGCACACAGAAACCATCAGGTCAAACTCAGCCCTGATACTAAAAATGTGCTCCTTGAGATCACAGCTTAGTATAAACTGTGAAACTACTATATTTTATAACAATTTTTTCAAGTGAAAATTCAATTCTTCAAACAATATTTAAAAACACACAACTGTTACTATATTTAGTTTAAATATTTACATATTATAGTTTACCATGCAAATTCCTTATGTTTGCCCTTATGCATGCTGAGAGGGATATTATCTTGCACAACACACAACTAATTCTTATTGCAAGCGTTCAACAAACTTGGAATTACAAAAACACAGGAATAAAAGAAAAAAAAATCATTTTTTAACATTTGGTATACTTCCCTGAAAATTAAGATATTTGTCCTTCAGCACATTTTTGTCATAGTTTGGACAGTGCCATTTTAGAATTTTCAAATGACAAGTTTCTTTGACCTTCTGTGGGAAACTGTTTATACCTATAAAACTCCACACCCCCCCAGCCCCCCCTCAAAGAAGTCTCTAGATTAACCTCTTAACCACATAATGTTGTAAGGCATCCAGCATTTCATCACGCCAAAAAGATCAGTGCTGTTAAGCTGTCAGTACTGGCAACTTCAAAGGTAAATACCTTTCCATCGTAACAAGTTTTTAACCGTGGGGAACCTCATTTTCCAAATTATTCTGAGGCAAAGAGTAAAACCTCTGGGGTAGTATCTACTGCAGCTTTGGCAATTGTCACCCTCCTTAAACTTTTATAAAGTAACTAAAAAAATGTGTACAGCTTTTGAACATCAACTTACTATTTTTTTTTTCCATAGTGAATGATTCTCTTACAATACGAAAGGAATCATACTAACCTAGCCCCCTGTTGCACCTCCATAATAATTAACAGCAAAACTGTCAAATCCTTACAAAGTAGCAGAATGAATGTAAGATGTCTTTTTTTTTTTTTTTCTGTCCTTTTTTTGGTATAGTACAAAACACTTACCTAGAAAGAAGTGACAGAGCCTTACCTTGGCTGAGTGCTCCATGGTGACAACCACTTTGGTTTGTGCACTGGATACCAGGTCCATGGCACCTCCCATTCCTTTCACCATCTTACCCTAAAAAAAAAAAATTTAATGGAAATGTAACATTCTGACTACTACAAAAAAAAAAAAAAAAGAATATGTTGGCTGCACCAACGCAAAACCAGCAGTCTCATTCTAGGCTCTATTCAATGCAAATACGAGAAGAATAGTGAGTAGAGTAAGGACCTACTGTTTTTAACTTAAATCTAAGTAGTACCATTGTCTTAATGGAAGCCCTGACACCCAGGAGTGATGAATTCAGTTCAATGGCTCTGACATTAAAAAAGCAAAGTGTTCACTCTCCTGTTGATAGAAATGTCATTACTTCCTCAAAAGAAATCTTTGCTTATGAAATGTAGCAACAAGAGCATCTGAGCACTCTCCACCTGCCAGTTTAGAAAGACATAGCTTGTATCACTGTATCAGCACAAACCAATCATTTTGTTCTATTCCAGATATGTGGATACCATTTCAGAACATGGCCAAACAAATTAATGTGGATCAGTACTCACTTCTGTTTGCCCCTCAAACCACACAATGTTTTCTGCATCTGACTCATTCTTCTCTTAGAGTGCCTGAATTTCACCTGTTATCACAGCAGCGGTATTATGGCTTGGTGTTCAACGACCTCTATTTTTACTTTCTGTAATGCTACAAACAAGGCAACAACCTCATATTCCATTTGATGAGAAGGGCAAAAGGGGAGTGAAACATCAAGGTACCTGCATGATACTGGAGGTCAGTAGGAAATACTAGGCAAGGAATTTTATAGCTTAAAATAAATTAACTTCTGTCTCAAGTGTTATGTATTTGCTCTCTTTTGACTGGTTATTATCTGTAATTAAAGTAAGTTATGGACAGTAATAGCATTTATTTTACGTTTCATAACCTAAAAGTAAACAGTTGACTGGAAAACTTGCTAGTATAAGCCTTTTCTCTTCATTTTATTAGCTAGGTGATTCAGTACTTTACTAGTATCAGTACCTATGATCCAATACATAAAACATATGGAAGGGACTTACTGGTCTCTTGATCATCATGAAGGGAATATGCACATGCTCTCCCCTTAAAAATAACCCAAACAAACAAACAAGGAAAAACAACCATATTTTCTTACTGTTTGCACTGTAAATAATAAATAAAATCTTCCTGTATCTATAAACAACCCCTTTGGAATTTCTCACATCAGATTAATATTTACTGTTAATCACATTAATTAACATTACCACTAAGTATTTCTTGGCAAATACAAACCTGAAAGGAATGAAAATATTTATCTACATCCTTAACTTCCTAGCATTCAGATAATTCTCCATCTTACCTGGAAATACAGAGCTCTTACAGAGACTGCAATAATCTCTCACCTGTCTGGCAAAGGCTCACTGACGAGATAATGCAGAATAGCTGAAGACAATGGATTATCTCCCTAGTAACTCATCCCAGCAGATAAAGGCTGGATGGCTGCACACACAGAGTTGTGGTCAACGGCTCGTTGTCCAACTGGAAACCAGTAACAAGTGGTGTCCCAGAGGGGGCGGTGTTGGGACCAATCCTGTTCAACATCTATGTCAGTGACATGGACAGTGGGACTGATGCACCCTCAGCAAGTTTGCCAACGACACCAAGCTGTGTGGTTCAGATGATCAGCTGGAGGCAATGAATGCCATCCAGAGGGACCTTGACATGCTTGAAAGGTGTCCAATGCCAACCTCATGAAGTTCAACATGGCCAAGTCCAGGGTCCTACACCTGGGTTGGGGCAATCCTAAGCACAAATACAGGCTGGATGGAAATTGGATTGAGAGCAGCCCAGAGGAGAAGGACTTGGGAGTGCTGGTTGATGAGAAGCCTGGCAATGTGCACTTCCAGCCCAGAAAGCCAACCGTATCTTGGACTGCATCAAAAGGAGTGTGACCAGCAGGTCAAGGGAAGTGATTTTTCCCTTGTATGTACTCTGCTCTCGTGAGACCCCACCTGTAGTATTGCATTCAGCTATGAAACTCCTGACATAAGAAAGACATTGTCCTGCTGAAGCAAGTCCAGAGGAGGCCACAAAGATGATCAGATAGCTGGAGCACCTCTGCTACAGAGACAGGCTGAGAGAGCTGGGGCTGTTCAGCCTGGAAAAAGAAGGCACTGCGGAGACCTTAGACCAGCTTCCAGTGTCTAAAGGAGCTACAAGAAATCAGGAGAGGGCTATTTTACAAGGGCATGTAAATAGAGGACAAGGGGGAATGGCTTTAAACTGGAATAAAGTAGATTTAGATCAGACATTAGGAAGAAGTTCTTTATGTGAGACACTGGCACAGGTTGTCCAGAGAAACTGTGGCTGCCCCATCCTGGCAGTGTTCAAGGCCAGGTTAGATGGGGTTTGGACAACCTGGTCTAGCAGAAGGTGTCCCTGCCTGTGGCAGAGGCATTGAAAGTACATGGTCTTTCAGGTGGCTTCCAACCCAGATCACTCTATGATCCCATGAAAGAGCCTGAGAAAATAATTTAGCTTAATAGTAATCCCTAAACAGAAACCTTCCTGCTGGTTTGGTCACCTTTGCCATCCAAGACAATTTGTGGTGTCCCAGCAGAAGGTTGCGTGTACCTGAAGGTGGGCGAGACAGTAAAGATATTTTTCAAGAGAATGTGAAGTTTTTTCACAATGGGATAGCAAGCAGGAAATAACTTATGAGAAAATCCAAACCGGCTAAAAAAGAGGTGGCTGAGAGAAAAGAGGAAAGATCAGGAGCCTTCCAAGCTTTTGAAGGTCTTGTAACCACACTGGTGTCTTATACCATTCCTTTATATTCCCGGGGGGAAGGACTTTTCTTCCATAACTGAATTTTATAGCTACTCCAAACATTGTAAGATAAAACACACCTAAACTGATCTGGTTGTGTTAAAAGAACATAAACTTTCGAGACAAACAGATATCACATCAACTGTACAGCAAAGCAGGTGCTGATGACATGTTTGAGGAACAGTGAAAACTGTGGTAACTGTGGAGTTTGAAGGATTAATACTCAGATTGAAGGAAACAAAAGCTTGAATAATTCCATTTAAAACTGAATATCAAAGGACAGCCAAGATGAAAATGTGTACCTGTTTGAAAAGGAACTAAGGTACTTCCTTATTGAGTCCCTGCCCATGTTGCCAACTGCCCTAATACTGTATTAAATAAATACCATCCAGTCTGAAACTTCTCTTTCCTTCCATTAAATGAAAGAATATATATGCTTCACACTATGCTCAAAGTTCGTGAAAACTATTTCAAAAACTCTCACAGAAGATAATGAATGCTTCTAGTTCAAACTACAGTTGTCATGGAGGCTTCCCATTCAATCTGTATTCCAAGTCATCTCCCTGGAAGCAGTTGAACAAGCTACTTAGGATGAGAAAGTGAAGATTTTAAAAATGTCAGTGTGGTCTCTGACAGCTACAAACACAGACTAAGTAGCAGGTATGGAATCCATCACCAGTCTCAAGTTCCTTACAAAAGGAATTAATTACATAGCGCCAGTGATGGCTACTAAAATTCGCAGGAACTGGAATTGCACAAACTCCATGGAATGAGACCATGGTTTGGGTTGGAAGGGACTTTACAGATCACTTAGTTCCAACCCCTTTGCCACGGGCAGGGACACAGAAATTAACGTAATGCACTAGATACAAGACACTTCCATGACCACTGTCAATGGTGCTAACGCTGCAGTCGAGAGGATGAGCTTCAAAATAGTTTGCTCTGCCCCTCCCTCCAGTGCTGTGTATGCACTAACATACATTAGTCACATAGGTTTCCCTATCCATATAGGTCTGTCTGTCTTCACAGATGTGCCAACTTCAAATGACATGCATAGCACAAGTTAGGAGCTCACCAGAGCATAAATAGTTATTTAAAAAAATCTCGTTAATTGTTGTGCAGTTAGATGTTGCTAGTTTGGGTGGGGTTTTTTTGTATGGTGGCTGCATATTAACACAGAGCTTAGCTTTGTACAAAGGAGATACCAAGCAGAAGGTAATATTAAAAAAATACATATGCATAAATCTCCTCTAACTACATAACAATGTAGATAAAAATCCTTTGCTCATTGTTAACAGTCCTGTCCAGTGTTTAAAGGAAATGTACATCTATAGTTGATTACAAAATGAAGGCCACAACTCTTCCAGATTTCACTTCCCATTTCTTCAGTGCAAAAGACTGTATAAATACTGTATCAAAAATTATGGATAAAGTTGAAGATTAAGTGTTCTAAAATATACTTCCTTGTCCTATTTTCCACTGATTTGATGTCCTTATACAACACATTTACAGAATTATTGTAATTATGCTGTCAACTATGACAGCTAGATTAGATTTTACTCCAAGAATGTGACTGAATAAACATTACCAAGAAACAATGGGAAATCATTATTGGGATATTTTAATCAGTAGAGCTGATAATTCAATAACACAACAAAGAGTTAATACCGTCTGAATGTAACAAAGCTGAGCAGACTCTACATGCATGAGGGTGAAGATACTTTTTTAAAGGACGTCCAAACAGAAAATGACCTGTTTTTCCAGAATGCTAACCAGATATCTCCTAACACACACACAAAATGAAAAACAAATGTAAAAAGAAAATATAATTATTTTAAAAAATGGAACGTAAGTTCTTGAGTGACTGATACTTCCTGACAGAATTTATTAATAACTGTTCCCTAAAATGTAACATACACAAATATGATCACTAACTATATTTATAGTTTTAGTTGCTATAATCAGAAAATTAAGGAAGTATAAAATACGTGCAAAGAAAGTTGGCTTAATTTCATTCTTTAATTAGTTGGTGAAATTTTATTCCTTTATTCTCCCATAAAAATAATTTTAAAAAACCGTTGGCAACAGATTCAAATGACCGAATGAAATTCAAATGAATACATTGAGAAAGTGCGTCTCAAAAGCAACTCAAAACAGTCTGTAACATGCATACTGAAATTGATGTGCTTTGCAGAGGTGAATGTTATTTCAGTGTAACAGGACAGTTAATCCTTCTATTTACC